GTGATAATGGTGGTAGTGATAGTGATAGTGATAGTGGTGGTGATAGTGATAGTGGGATGAACGGATCAAGTTTGTAGCAATGCGGGAAGAGACGCAGAATCCACTCGTATGCGGAATACAGTGCTGATTGGTCGTCCCACAGCATGCCTCACAGAAGCTGAAGATCAACCAGGCGGAATTTAATCAACCAACCTTAACCAAAACTAACTTAACCTAACCCAACCTTAACCAAAACTAACTTAACCTAACCCAACCTAACCAAAACTAACTTAACCTAACCCAACCATAACCAAAACTAACTTAACCTAACCCAACCTTAACCAAAACTAACTTAACCTAACCCAACCTTAACCAAAACTAACTTAACCTAACCCAACCTTAACCAAAACTAACTTAACCTAACCCAACCATAACCAAAACTAACTAACCAACCAACCTTAACCAAAACTAACTTAACCTAACCCAACCATAACCAAAACTAACTTACCCTAACCCAACCTTAACCAAAACTAACTTAACCTAACCCAACCTAACCAAAACTAACTTAACCCAACCCAACCTAACCAAAACTAACTTAACCCAACCCAACCTAACCAAAACTAACTTAACCTAACCTAACCTAACTTGAAATCAAACTTAATCTGAAACCGAATTTTAGTTAAGCAGAACCTATAGGGTGAAGGGAAACATGCTGACGTCATCCGGAAGGACCAATCACACACGTCTTGCCCGCGTACGAGTGGATTTAGCGTGCCGACAGCTAGGACAATACCGTGAGCTATTTATCCCCGCAGTGTAATTAACAGCCGTGTTGGTTGGGTTATCTAGCCAGCCATCACTGTAGGTCCTGGCTCAGAATGGCTCACCAGATGCTCAAAGATTCCTAAGTCTAAGTTTACCTCATCTTACCTTCCTTCTTTATCCTCTTTCCTTTCCTTCTCCGTCCCTTCCCTCCCTCTCCTTCCTTTCCTTTCTCATTCCTTCCCTTCATCCTTCCCTTCCTCGCCTTCCCCTTTCTTTTTCCTTTTCTAACCCCTCCTTCCCTCTCCTTCCTCTCCTTCCCTCCTCTCTCTCCCTTCCCTCCTCTCCTCTCCCTTCCCTCCTCCTCCCCTCCTCTCCTCCCTTCCTCTCCTCTCCCTTCCCTCCTCCTCCTCCTTCTTCTAGCCGGTAATAACAACTGACCTAACTGCCTTTGTTTACTTCTGGGCTCGATGAAGATGGCGGCCAAACAGTACAGCTGGACTACTGCCATGGGGTGCACAACAAACTAGCTACTGTCTGTGGCTAAATTTAAATTCACCACTACCACCACCACATGAATACTACCACCACATGACTACTACCACCACATGACTACTATCACCACATACCTCTACTACTACCACCACCGCCACATGACTACTACCACCACATGACTACTACTACCACTACCATCACCACACACTCACACTACTACCACCACCACCACCACACACTACCACCACCACCACCACCACATAAACCATCTACGGCGTTTAGAAAGTGTTATTATTTACGCCGGTGTTATCACGTGTCCAGGGAGGTCAAAGGTCAAAGTCTCAGCAGGGGTTGAACTGCCCTCGAGTGCAGCGTAAACAAAGAGGTGAAAGACAAGTCCTGTACATATCCTGGTTTCACCAGGACGGACACACACACACACACACACACACACACACACACACACGCACACACACACACACACACACACACGCACACACACACACACACACACACCCTAGGTCCGAACACACTCCAGGTTGTAGATTCCACGAAGCCTCGCGCCCATAGACAACAAACTAAATTGAAACCACACGTCAGTGAAGTTGTCAAATCCTCCAGTTTCCGTCTCCACCTCCTCCGCCGACTCAAGTCCCTGAGTTCCTGCACACGAGTCTTCAGTGTATATACACAACATCTATACTTCCTAAGCTCACCTATGCCTCCCCACCTGGTCTCTAAATGCCACACAACGTAAACACCTAGAAAAAGTGCAAAAGAGGGCATGCAAGATTCTTTCCTTCCTACACCACATATCAAGAAGCGCTCAACACACTGACCCTTTCTGACTCTCACTGACCATCACCACGGCCTCATCTGCAAATTTGAAGAAGCTTACACCATCCCCGACACCGGCCCCTTACTACCACCTGAGATCCCCTGTCCGAGAATTGTTCGACACCACAACCGCATCCAGCCCATACGTGCACGAACTGATCGCTATAAGAACAGCCCAGTCCCAACCATTGTAAAATTATCAATAACATGTAATAAATCAGTGTATTCATCTCTGTAAACACTGCCCCTACACTGTCACTATGTTGAAATGAACTGTAGTTTGAGCTGATCCCCATCTAAGTTACTATATGTCTTATTTGTGTCACTTATGTCACTTGTATATTATTTGTACTGTAACCCATTCCCCAAATATGTAACTGTATATTTTCAGCCTCTGGCTGCCAAGCTCTTTCAATAAACCGTTAATTATTATTAATATTATTATTATTACACACACACGTTCCAAAAATAGTATCAGACCAATTATGAACCGTCAATATGATCGCATAATCGACTGACACTTAGACGGTAACAACGACAGGAGCCAAAATGTGTACCGGTCACTTCAGTCACGGGGAGAGAAAGATAAACAAAGATGTCATTGTCAGTCGAGGTGGTCAGGTCATTGTCAGTCGAGGTGGTCAGGTCATTGTCAGTCGAGGTGGTCAGGTCATTGTCAGTCGAGGTGGTCAGGTCATTGTCAGTCGAGGTGGTCAGGTCATTCAGTCGAGGTCAGGTCATTGTCAGTCGAGGTGGTCAGGTCATTGTCAGTCGAGGTGGTCAGGTCATTGTCAGTCGAGGTGGTCAGGTCATTGTCGTCGAGGTGGTCAGGTCACTGTCAGTCGAGGTGGTCAGGTCATTGTCAGTCGAGGTGGTCAGGTCATTGTCAGTCGAGGTGGTCAGGTCATTGTCAGTCGAGGTGGTCAGGTCATTGTCAGTCGAGGTGGTCAGGTCATTGTCAGTCGAGGTGGTCAGGTTATAACGTGACCGATGATAATGACGACACAGAGTAATGATTATATCGAAGCCTGAAGATCTTGTTAGCGATTTGTGTGAGTGATCTTGTCCACAACTCCCAGACGGATGCAAGCGTCCTCCTCCTGATACAGTGGCCAATAACCAACAGACTTTCAGAATCAGGATATAAACTTTAACCTCAAATGTCTTTCTCTTCTCATATCTACGACGAGAATATAACTAGGTATATTTCACAACACCGATCACTGGTATAACTAGATGTGTCCTCAGATCAATCTCCATTTACGAGAGAGATACAAAAAATAATCTTACGAGGCCTTAAGAATACTTCTGTCCCTCAACCTCTTTCTCATATGTGGTCCAGCACTACTCCCAGATGACTCCACCATCTCATCTCCTCACTTGACTAGTTGGAGAGCGGCCACATCTCCTCCTCCTCCTGGGCCACTACACATCCTCCTCCTCCTCCTCCTCCTCCCTGGGCCACTACACCTCCCTCCTTCTTCCTGGGGCCACTCACCCCCCTCCTTCTTCCTGGGGCCACTACACCTACCCACCTCCTCCCTGGGGCCACCACACCATCACCCCTGGTCCTCCCTGGGGCCACCACACCATCACCCCCCTGGTCCTCCCTGGGGCCACCACACCATCACCCCTGGTCCTCCCTGGGCCACCACACCATCACCCCCTTCCCTGGCCACCACACCATCACCCCTGGTCCTCCCTGGCCACATCGCCGCCCTGTCGCTCATCGTCTGCCCGTGTCGCTACTGTGTCGAGAATTTATTTAATCTCTGACCTTAACGGTCAGATCATGTGTGTGTGTGTGTGTGTGTGTGTGTGTGTGTGTGTGTGTGTGTGTGTGTGTGTGTGTGTGTGTGTGTGTGTATGCTGGTGGGGGTATTATTGAGGTGATCCTTCACTTAACAGGGGATGAGGTGAAGAGTCTGGTGGCGTTTGTCTCTGAGTATCTTGGAGAAAATATCAAGCAGCATTGAGAAGGTGGGGAGAGGAGGAGGGCAGGAAGAGAAGAGGAGGAGGGAAAGGGGTATGGGATGGGGGATGAGGAGAGAAAGAGGAAGAAAATAAGGAGAGGAATGAGAGGGGAGGAGAACAGGGTAGAGACAGGAAGGAGACGGGGGGAGGGGGGGCAGGAAGAGAGAGGGAGGGAGAGGAGGATAGGGATGAGGAAGGAAAGGTAAAGGGGAGAGGGAGGGGAGGAGGTGCTGGTCCGCATACTGAATAATTACAGAAGGGAACCAAAATATTTTCTCTAATCTTTAGTGAGATAGTTTTTGGGACTTCTTTATTAGTTTGTGTGTGAGTGTTGTGTGTGTGTGTGTATGTGTGTGTGTGTGTGTGTGTGTGTGTGTGTGTGTGTGTGTGTGTGTGTGTGTGTGTGTGTGTGTGTGTGTGTGTGTGTGTGTGCGTGTGTGTGTGTGTGTGTGTGTGTGTGTGTGTGTGTGTGTGTGTGTGTGTGTGTGTGTGTGTGTGTGTGTGTGTGTGTGTGTGTGTGTGTGTGTGTGTGTGTGTGAAAAGGTCAGTATTACAAGTGTTTTCATAAACTGTTCAGGCAGCTGTACTCTTTTCCTTATCTCGAGGGAACCTCCACTGACCCTTGGGAGCTGTGTTGATTCAGGGCTGACCTTGGGAGCTGTGTTGTTCAGGGCTGACCTTGGGAGCTGTGTTGGTTCAGAGCTGACCCTTGGGAGCTGTTGGTTCAGAGCTGACCCTGGGAGCTGTGCTGGTTCAGGGCTGACCCTTGAGCTGTGTTGGTTCAGGGCTGACCCTTGGGAGCTGTGTTGGCGTCAGGGCTGACCCTTGGGAGCTGTGTTGGTTCAGGGCTCCCTGGGAGCTGTGTTGGTTCAGGGCTAAACAGGTCCTCACACAAAGTGCTTCCCCAGTGCCACGGTCGGCGACCCCCTCCCCACGACCAAGACACAAACGAGTCAATTAGCGATTGTTTTCTCCTGTGGAGTCTGGAGGTCTTTACCCTCCCCCGTGTGTATGTCTGTCTGTCCGCTCACAAACACATCACCCCGTTGTTGTCTCCAGAAAACACACGACCCAGCGTCTGTCAACACGCCCCTGGCCACCACTTTGTCCTTTTGGCCGGCCACCACTATCCACCGGACGGTCACTTCCTGTCCTCTTCCTCCCAAGCCACTTCCTATCCCCGGATCACCTGCTGGCCACCACACCCCGTGACTGGAGAAGCCCCCCCGGCCAGCGCACCCCACATCTCCCGACTGGTGAGTCCCCGCCGGCCACCACATCTTCTGGACTGTGAGGTCCCCGCCGGCCACCACATCTCCTGTGACTGAGGTGCCCCCCCGCCGGCCACCACATCTCCCGTGACTGGTGAGGTGCCCGCCGGCCACACATTCCGGACTGGTGGGTGCCCCCCCGCCGGCCACCACATCTCCCGTGACTGGTGAGGTGCCCCCCCCGCCGGCCACCACATCTCTGTGACTGTGAGGTGCCCCCCGCCGGCCGCCACATCTCCCGTGACTGGAGGTGCCCCCGCCGGCCACCACATTCCCGTGACTGGTGAGGTGCCCCCCCGGCCGGCCACCACATCTCCCGTGACTGGTGAGGTGCCCCGCCGGCCACCACATCTCCCGTGACTGGAGGTGCCCCCCGCCGGCCACCATCTCCGCACGGTAGGTGCCCCGCCGGCCACCACATCTCCGGACTGGTGAGGCCCCCGCCGGCCACCATTCCCGTGACGGTGAGGTGCCCGCCGGCCACACCACATCGTGACGAGGCCCCCGCCGGCCACGACACCTGACGTGAGGTGCCCCGCCGGCCACCACATCTCCGTGACTGGTGAGGCCCCCGCCGCCACAACATCTCCCGTGACGGTGAGGTGCCCCCGCCGGCCACCACATTCCCCGTGACTGGTGAGGTGCCCCCGCCGGCCACCACATATCTCCCGTGACGGGTGAGGTGCCCCCCGCCGGCCACCACATCTCCCGTGACGGGTGGAGGTGCCCCCCGCCGGCCACCATATCTCCCGTGACGGGTGAGGTGCCCCCCGCCGGCCACCACATCTCCGGACGGGTGAGGTGTCTCCCGCCGGCCACCTCCCACCTCTTATTAAGGAGACGTGTAGCACCTGTGTCTGATTCTATTTATATGTGTTGTTATTACTGTACCTGTAACTGTACCTGTACCTATACCTGTACCTGTACCCGTACCTGTACCTGTACCTGTACCTGCACCTGCACCTGTACCTATTGCATCTGTACCTGTACCTGTATCTGCACCTGTACCTGTACCCACTAACCTGTACCTGTACCTGTACCCTGCATCTGCACTGTACTTGCATCTGCACCTGCACCTGTACCTGTACCCATACCCTGTACCTGTACCCGTAATCTGCACCCATATCTGCACCTGCAATCTGGTAATCTGCACCCATACCCACCTGCACCCATACCTGTACTCTGCACCCGTACTGCACCCTGTACCTACATCCGTATCTGTACCTATACCTGTACCTGTACCTAACCTGTACCTGTACCCATACGTGTACCTGCACCCATAGCACCTGCACCCCATACCTGCACCCATACCTGCACCTGTACCCATACTCATGCCTGTACCCACATCTGTATCTGTACCCATACCTGTACCTGCACCTATACCTGTACCTGCACCCATACCTGTACCTGCACCTATACTTGCACCTGCACCCATTCTGACCTGTACCCACATCCGCATCTGTACCCATACTGCATCTGCACCCATACCTGCACTGTACCTATACCTGCACCTGTACCTATACTCTGTACCTGTACTCATGATCCAGTATCTGTACCTATACCTGCACCTTACCATATCTGCAATTGTACCCATACCTGCACCTGTACCTATACCTGTACCTGCACCCATACTCTGCATCTGCACCACATCTGTATCTGCACCTATACTTGCACCTGCACCTACACCTGTATCTGCACCTATACCTGCACTCCTGGTACCTATATCTGCACCTGCACCTATATCCAACTGTACCTATACTCTGCACTGCACCCATACCTGCAATCTGCACCTACACCGTACCTGTACCCATACCTGTACCTGTACCTACATCTGTATTCTGTACCTATATCTGTGCCCCATACCTGCACCTGCACCCATATCTGCATCTGCACCTTACACCTGTACTGTACCCATATCTGTATCTGCACCTATACCTACACCTGCACCTGAGCACCCACCTGTACCTATACCTGTACCTGTACCCATATCTGTACCTGTACCCATACTCTAGTACCCATACTTGTACCTGCACCCAAATCCAGTATCTGTAATTCTTATACTTGTACCTGTACCTATACCTGTACCTGTACCCATATACCTGTGGCCTGTACCCATACTTGCACCTGCACCCATACCTGCACCCTGTACCTCACATCTCGGTATCTGCACCTATACTGCACCTGTACCCATTCTGTACCTGCACCCATACTCCTGCATCTGCACCCATACCTGTACCTGCACCCATATCTGTGCATCTGCACCCATACCTGCACCTGCACCTACACCCTGCACCTGTACCCATACCTGCATCCTGCACCCACACCTGCACCTGCACCTATACTCTGCACCTGCACCCATACTGCACCTGCACCCACATCCGTAGTCTGCACCCATACTCTGCACCTGCACCCATACCTGCATCTGCACCCATACCTGCACCTGCACCCATACCTGCACCTGCACCCATCTGCATCCACCCATACCTGTACCTGCACCCATATCCGTATCTGCACCCATACCTGTATCTGCACCCATACCCACCTGCACCCATACCTGTACCTGCACCCATACCTGCATCTGCACCCACACCTGTATTGCACTCCATACCTTGCACCTGCATCTGCATTTGCACCTGTGCACCCACATCCGGATCTGCACCTTCTGCACCCATACCTGCATCTGCACCCACACCTGCACCTGTACCTATACCAGTAATCTGCACCCATACTTGTACCTGCACCTACATCCATCTGCACCCATACTTGCACCTGCACCCATACCTGCATCTGCACCCATACCTGCACCTGTACCCATACTTGCACCTGTACCTATACCCCCATCCTGTACCTAGATCTGTATCTGCACCCATACTTGCACCCACCTCATACCTGCAATCTATACCTGCACCTGCACCTGTACCCGTACCTGTACCCATACTTGTATCTGTACCATACTCGTATCTGCACCTATACCTGCACCTGTACCCATACCGTACCTGCACCCACTGCACCTGGTACCCATACCTGCACCTGCACCTATTCCTGCACCTGTACCCGTACCCCACAATTGTACCCAGATACACTTGCACCTGCACCCAACCTGTACCTGCACCCATACTTGCACCTCACCCATATCTGCACCTGCACCTATACTCTGTACCTGCACTCATACCTGTACCTGCACCCATAATCTGCACCTGTCACCCATATTCTGTACCTGCACCCATACCTGCACCTGTACCCATACCTGTACCTGCACCCATATTTGCACCTGCACCCATATTCACCTGTACCATACTCTGCACCTGCACCCATACCTGCACCTGTACCCATACCTGCATCTGCACCTACACTTGTACCTGCACCCATACCTGTACCTGTACCCATACTTGTACCTGCACCCATACTCTGTACCTGTACCTATACCTGTACCTGTACCCATACTTGGCACCTGCACCTATACCTGCACCTGCACCTCACATCCATCTGTACCATACCTGTACCTGCAATACACTTGCACCTGCACCCATACTTGTGCCTCACCTACACTGCATCTGTACCTATACTTGTACCTGCACCTCACATCTGCACCTGACCTATTGCACCTTGCACCCATACTTGCACCTGTACCTATACTTGTACCTGTACCCACATCTGCATCTGACCTATACCTGCACTCAGAATCTAACCTGTACCTGTACCTATATCTGTACCTGTACCATACCTGTACCTGTACCTATTCTGTACCTGTACCCATACCTGTACCTGTACCCACATCTGTATCTGTACCTACCTGCACCTGTACCCATACCTGTACCTGTACCTATACCTGCACCTGTACCCATACTTGTACCTGTACCCATACTTGTACCTGTACCCATATCCTGATCTGCACCCATACCTGCACCTGCACCCATATCTGCACCTGTACCCATACCTGCACCTGCACCCACTGCACCTTGTACCTATACCTGTACCTGCATTCCATATCTGTACCTGTACCTATATTCTCACCTGCACCCATATCCACCTGTACCCATACCCAACCCATACTTGTACCTGTACCTATACTTGTGGCCTGTACCTATATCCGGATCTGTACCTATACTTGTACCTGTACCTATACCTGTACCTGTACCCATACCTGTACCTGTACCTGCCACTCTGTACCTGTACCTATATCTGTATCTGTACCCATACCTGTACCTGTACCCATACCTGCACCTGTACCTACCTGTACCTAGACCCATATCCCAGGCCTGTACCTACACTCCTGCCTACTCCATACTCTGTACCTGTACCCATACCTGTACCTGTACCATCTATCTGTACCTTACACCTGTATCTGCTGTACCTATACCTGTACCTGTACCCATAATCTGTACCTGTACCATACCTGTACCTGTACCTATATCTGTACCTGTACCTATATTCTGATCTGTACTACATTCTGTACCTGTACCTGTACCTGTACCTGTACCTGTACCTGTACCTGTACCTGTACCCATACCTGTACCTGTACCATACCTGTACCTGTACCTATACCTGTACCTGTACCTATACCTGTACCTGTACCTATACTTGTACCTGTACCTATATCTGTATCTGTACCTATACCTGTACCTGTACCTATACTTGTACCTGTACCCATACTTGTACCTGTACCTACATCTGTATCTGTACCTATACCTGTACCCACCTATACCTGTACCTGTACCTATACCTGTACCTGTACCTATACTTGTACCTGTACCCATACTTGTACCTGTACCTATACCTGTACCTGTACCTATACCTGTACCTGTACCTCCATATTCTGTACCTGTACCTATACTCTGTACCTGTACCTCACATCTATCTGTACCCATACTTGTACCTGTACCCATACCTGTACCTGTACCTATACCTGTACCTGTACCTATACCTGTACCTGTACCTATATCTGTATCTGTACCTATACTTGTACCTGTACCTACCTGTACCTGTACCTATACCTGTACCTGTACCTATACTTGTACCTGTACCTATACTCTGTACCTGTAAATACATCTGTATTCACCTATACTTGTACCTGTACCCATACTTGTACCTGTACCTATACCTGTACCTGTACCTATACTTGTACCTGTACCTATACCTGTACCTGTACCTATACCTGTACCTGTACCTATACCTTGCACCTGCACCTTACATCTGTACCATACCTGTACCTGTACCTATACCTGTACCTGTACCTATACCTGTATCTGTACCCTATATCTGTACCTGTACCTACATCTGTATCTGTACCCATACTTGTACCTGTACCCATACCTGTACCTGTACCTATACTTGTACCTGTACCTATACCTGTACCTGTACCTATATCTGTATCTGTACCTATACCTGTACCTGTACCTATACCTGTACCTGTACCTATATCTGTATCTGTACCCATACCTGTACCTGTACCTATACCTGAATCTGTACCCTATATCTGTACCTGTACCTATACCTGTATCTGTACCTATACTCTTGTACCTGTACCTGTACCTGTACCTGTACCTGTACCTGTACCTGTACCTGTACCTGTACATATCTGTATCTGTACTATACCTGTACCTATATCTGTATCTGTACCTATACTTGTACCTGTACCTATACCTGTACCTGTACCTATACCTGTACCTGTACCCTATACCTGTACCTGTACCTATACCTGTACCTGTACCTATATCTGTATCTGTACCTATACCTGTACCTGTACCTATACCTGTACTCTGTACCTGTACCTATACTCTGTACCT